GGCTTGCACACTGTTAATTTAATCTGTTATTATGTATGTGAACTTTTTTTTTACCCTGATTGATGAGAGTTTGAGTATAAGGCTTGCACACTGTTAATCTGTTATTATGTATGTATTAATTGGTTGATTACTTTAATCCTGTATATACAGATTGTATGTGGTACCTATAGTTAAAAAGTGCGTTTATAGTCACTATCTTAAAATATATCTTAATATTAATTATTTATGTATTATTTTTTCAAGTTAAATCACTTTTACCACAAAGTTTACTAGGGTTTGTTTGTTATTAGATATTGAGAAAATCTGTATTTTATTTCATTTCACCGTGTACAATATAAAAAAAATAAAGCATTCGGAAAAACAATTAAGATACAAAAAATGTTGGTCTCTGATTTTTCACAGGGGCCGACGGTAACCCCAAAAAGTAAAATCAATTACTGGTAATGTGGCTGTCCATGCGATGAGGGGAATCAGAAAACAACAAAAGACTTATAAAAAACAGAATCAACATAAATTTAAATTACAATATAGAAAATAGGAAATTGTATGATTATTTTGAGTATGATGATAGATGATGAATTCTACCATTAACAATCAGGCCCAGGAAAATTGGGCCCATTTTCAGGATGATTGGACCCATTTTGAAAGGGTGTGAAAGTAGGCCTGATCTTTTTGAAAAGTGACACATAAATCTTCATCCTGTTTTGTATGCTGTATTTGAAATTCCACCAGCTTACTGCAATTTTGAGCAACCCATATCAAGGTAAATTATTAGGTGCTACGGAAATTTTTCATTTACTACAGAAATCTGAAGACATAGTTACGGAAATGCATTTTACGAACTTGAGAAATCTGCAACAATGTTGAAAAGCAAGGCATCGTCAATCCTCTGCCAGAAGTGGTTATACAACCAACCAGTAGAATTATAATAAATATAATCCTAGACTTATATAGCGCTTAACAACAGAGAAGAAAAACCGAAACAAATGCGAATGTACCAAAAAATTATTATCAAATATTTGGTTTTAGTTTTGTTTAATTAAGTTCAAATGATTGGTTTGATGATTATCAATAAATGTTATTACAATTCTTTGGTAATTGGAATTATCAGCTCTAGTGCCCTCTGGAGCATCAACAACTCACAAACTTTTTTTCAAATCAGCTCTTACATAAGATAAGATGTATTGGTTCACACCTTTATAACAGAGGAACACTCTCGCAAGAAAATGCAGATACATAATTAACAATTATACTAAAAATATAAAACATATTACAGTAACTGAAAATATCATTGTACTAAAAGAAATAATGAATATCAAATTATAGTAAAACAAAATATATACTTAATCCATTGGTTCACACCTTTATAACAGAGGAACACTCTCACAAGAAAATGCAGATAGATAAGTAACAATTACACTAAAAATATAAAACACATTACAGTAACTGAAAATATTCTACTAAAAAAAATAATGAATATCAAATTATAGTAGAACAAAATAAATATACCTACTTAATCCATTGACCTATTCGTTTTCCTGTGTACTGCATATGCCTCATGTACCAGTTTCATCCTGTTTTAATGCTCAATGGTAAAATATATTGTGAGCGGTCAGTTTTTACTGTAAGCAGAGCTAACTTTTAAAAACTATATTGAATCATACAGTATAGGCCTACTGCCAGCTAAAAATTCCATGCTCCTAGAGGGCACTATAGCTGATACTGTTCATGTCTACTGCATTATTGAAACATCATAATAATAATAATAATTTTGGCTTATATAGCGCATTATGCTAAAGCCTCAATACGCTTAACAATAAAAAATAAAAATGCTAGGAGAAATTTAAGAAAAGTACATGTTAAAAAGGTGAGTTTTTAAAGCTGCCTTAAAATCAACAATGGAGGTTGCCTGTCGGATTGTAATAGGCAAAGCATTCCACAGGAAGACAGAAGCCCAAGAAAAAGAACGATTGCCATAATGCTTTGTTGAGGCGCTAATAGAATGAGCAAGTAGAGACTCTGAACTAGATCTCAGAGACCTCTAAGGATGAATTAGATGTGAACATTGATCTTTATTATTATAATTGTGCAAACTTATGGAAAAATTTACCCAAGTGATTATCATTTGAGTCTTAAAGTAATTCATTCAGAAACAATACAACAATATTTCCTACGAAGAGTGATAAATTGAGAAATAGGATTGATCAGAAATTTTGTATATTTTTAAAATTTTTACTTAAATGCACTTTTCTTTAATTCTAGGACTGACTTCGCCGGTGAAATGTTAATCGCTCAGAAAAAAAAATATCTGTTAGGTCTGATTTTGCTAGATATAAAACAAATTGGAATATCTATTATTTAATTGCTTAGTTCCGTATTATATTCTTTATCATTAGGGTATTATTCAATCTTCATCATCGTCATCCTGTTTGTCACCTCATGGGGTGTTGGGTCGTCTCATTATTGTCCTCCATCTGGGGCGATCCATTACTGCTTACAGGGGCGGATCCAGAGATGTCTAAAAGGGGGGCCGAAAGGGGGGCCGAAATTTGGGCCGATCGAGACAACAATGTCCCAGGGGGTCCGGGGGCATGCCCCCGCAAAATTTTTGTGTTCTAGACGCCCGAAAATAACATTTGAGGCGTTGTGGGCTATCATTTTTTACTTTTTCTTTCTTTTTTTCCTTTTTTCCCCTTTTTTTACCTCCCAAAAGGGGGGCCCGGGGCCGGGCCGCCCCCCCCCTAAATCCGCCCCTGACTTATAAGTCCACCAATCTTCCATTTTGTCTGATTATTCAATCTTAAATAAAAATAATATTTTGGATAATTTCTGCCATAAATGCTGAAAAGCATAATAATATGCCTATTAAAAGTGTAGAGCCAGTAAAATCAACATCAATACTGCCCTCTGGAGGATGTAATACAGATTTTTGTTAAATTAGGTAAATATTAACAAATTCAATTGATAATGGTTGGTATTAAAGTTACTGTTTTATAATTCTGTGTAATTTTTCATGTTCTAAATTCATCTTCATGGACTCAGGAGATTTGGGAAAGTGTGTGCAATTTAGGTGGGACTTTTTTTATACCTTGATAACAAACCCACCATCTGCCAATAATGATGATTTTAAATAAAAATTTTTTTCTTTAAAAGTTTTTCTTTATTTTTATTATGCCCGCAGCTGCTTTGAAATTTCCAAAAAATAAGATATGTATGTTTCTTCCTAATTATATAAATTTAACCATCGGATTACTACACTGTTTATATTCAGCAATAAAAATTTTTATTTTCTCCTCTGTCTGGATGTAAAACTATTTGCTAAATAAAAAAACAAAATTTTATTTTTATTTTTTTTTTTTGCTGTCGGAAAACCTTTAACAAAATAAGTTCACAAAACAAGTTATAAAAAAAGTCTTGCCATAGGTTGCAAGTATTTTATGTACTAAAAGTTATAAATAAGTTGAGACAAATACAATCTATTTTTTATTGCTTTTTTATTTTGTCAAATGTTATAAATAAAGAAAATAGAAATACTGTACTTCATTTCAAATTGGAATTTGTCAGTTAACTTATATTGTAAAGAATAACAATGAAACATTGGATTTGTATTCTGCCCTTCTCTACATACACAAATACACAATTGATAGACGACCATATTCACCCCCTTCCTTTCCCTGCACATACAATGATAATTCCTTCAATTTGGGTTTCACTATAATATTTAATGCATAATATCGTGTCCATCATTCTGAGAATGATTAATGCAGGACTTGAGGCTGTTTTCCACTAGAGAATTTTTTTTGCGAGACTCAAAGATTTTTTGCACATTATTTTTTACTACATGAGTGAAAGTATTTGTGATACATATTTTTTCGCAAATATTGAAGCCGCATTACTAAGACAGGTTGGTATGCCATGGTGACGGTATATTTTTTTTATTCACTCTGTGCCCATGGGCACGATACAGTCTTTTCTAGAGCTCTGATTGGCTGTGCATTATTTCACTTTACCAAAAGTAGAAAATTGTTTGAACTGTAAACTCCTCTAGAGCGTAACACCACAAGCGAAAAAGCGGTAAAAGTCTAGTGCATGATAATGAAAAGTAGCTAAATTCGCCTAGTGGGAAACCAGCTTTAGCCATTGTAACCCAGAACTTTTATTTGGTGTTGCTCAAGCACCTTCAATCTTAAATCATGTGCACTTTGAAGAACCGAGAGCATTCTTCTAGAAGTGTAGCGGGTTACTGTGGTGTCCCCCACTGCTGTGGAGTAGATATATACAACGATTGCAGCAAAACGGGCACAGTGTATTATAAAGTTATAGGAATGAGTTAGTCCAATCACTTTGTAACTGCAAGGAAAAGCTGCTATATAAATACTTGTAACATCTAATTCTAGCAGTTCATTCTCAGGATACCAGCTTGTTGTAGCAAGATTACAATGCAATATAATTTTGCAAGCTTAGGTGTTCATGTATTTACAATTTTTTCCAAATGTCATTGAAACATAGAAATCACCACTATGTTTAAAGTTTTATATGATGCAGCAATAAGAAAATATGGAATAAAAAAAGAGCATTTTCAAAATCCCTTTATACACATATATTTGGCATGACATTTTTATCAGAACTATGATAAATAAGTTCTTAATGTTTTTGTGATAAAATTCTTTCTTGGATTAATCCTCTAGGATTCATCCGTAGTTGAAATTGGTGTTTTCAGTTCACCATTAACATTTGGAATACTATTGAATCCTCTGCCCAATGTCATATTCGCAGAATTTGAAGGCTCGCGTAATGTGGAAGAATCAAAATGCTTTGCCGCTTTTCCTCTGCACTGCAAAAGGTCACTGTAGGCATTGCGGAATTTACTGTTCTTCCATGCGTAAATGAAAGGGTTCAGAGTTGAGTTCAGAACAGCAAGAAAGGAGGCAAATCTCCAGAGAGGAGGCGGTGCAGTCTGGTTGATGTCAACTGCAGTAAGAATCAGCACTGGACCCCAACATATAGAATAAGCAATATAAACAACCAAGAGATTCTTTGCAACTCGTATCTCCCTGTTTACTCTTCTCTGCGCCACTTGGATACTTCTGCCGAGGTCGCTTTGCGTACGAACGCGACTCTGTCGAATGAACATGAATATTTTTGTGTAGCAGAAGATGATGATACTAGTTGAGATTGTGAAATATGTTCCAAGAATAACCAAAGCGTAAAGCCAGTTTCCATTTCCGGAAATGTTACATGCCAGAATAACATCGTTAAATCCAAACATCCCAAATCCTAGGAATGGCGGAAGAATCGTGATGATGGACACTATCCACCCGATAAGACAGAAAACCAATGTTCTATTTACCGTGAACACCACCTGAGATTTTTGCGGCCATAATATATTCATATAGCGATTGATCGCCACTCCGACTAGGTTTGTCGTTGAGGCCGAGCAACTTAGGGTGAGTGCGGCACCAAGGAAGAAACAGAGACCGTCCGATAAAGGCCAACTGCGATTGACTAAAGAAATGGTGGTGAACGGGTTTGTCACGGTGCAGACAATTAAATCAGCAATGGCCAGATTTAACAAGAAAAAATTTCCAGGTGTCCTAAGGTGTTTGTACTTGCAGATGGCAATGACTGTCAGTAGATTTGCTATTGTTCCAACTATACCAATCAGAACAATCCCTCCAACATGAAGGGAGATGGCGACCTTTTGAAGAGCCTCCATTCTGTCCTTTGAATATCTGACTTGAACCCCAGAGAATTGATTACAGGTATATGCTCCTTGATTGCCTGATCCCAAGGAAATGGTTGATCTGTCAAATTTGGCCCTCTCTGAAAAATAATTCAAATCAATTTATTGATACAGCCATCATATTTTTACCATATATTTATATTAATAGTGAGAATAATTAGATAATTTGGTTAAAAAAACTCTTTTTGGAAAAATAATACTGAGGAATCTCTTGAAATGATCTGTTTTGTAATATTTTATAAGCATCTAATATTTGGATTTTTACCAACTTAGTATGAGCTAGCCTTATGTGTATGGACATAGATTTTCTTAAGGGAGTACATAAAATGTTGTAGTTAATGATTATGTATGATTAACATAGGTTATAAAAATCCTAAATGCCTTTTTCGATGCTTTAAAACATTACGATCCGCATTTCATAATATGCTGGTTGTGTATATAACCTGTCTCTTATACACATCTAGATGTGTATAAGAGACAGTATATATATAATACAAAATTTAAATTTTAGAATTTAAATATTACATTTATTCATTTAAAGATGTAAATATTGTTTGTGTTTATTATTTATATCAATGTAGAGTAATATTATAGTTATTGTCATATCATCATAGAAGGTTTATCTCTGACAGTTGATATGAAAATAAAATAAAACTTAATATAATATTAATTTTAATAGGGGAACCATGTTTTAATATATTATCTCTTAAAAACAAATAATACTTTTGTTTTAAAATTTAGTTTTTTAACAGCGATTTGTTTAGTTTATATAAACATTCATAATAGTATCCTATAATTCTCATAAAGCCATTTTAATGGTTTCTTGTGAAAATTTCTGTGCATTAGAAAAATAATAAATACAGTATGTGCAGTGAAGTCCTAGAAACTAATTCCATTACGACTTGAAGTGATAATATAAAGTTAATTTGGACCTATATAGTCTTTATTTCTCTGTATTAAATTATCCTTTTATTTAATTTTTTATCTCCAAAATGTTTTAAGTCAGTGACCATTACAGAAAAGCTTATGTGTAAGAGGCCCACATAGGAAAATAAAACAAGAAACCAGATAATAAAGAGTGAAAATTGCAAATTTTAGATTTATAATTTTAAAAGAAATAGTAAAATATATATTTATTCTGAGTAGTAAATTCTAATGTTTATTTTTTTTTCTAATTTTTTTTAGTACTTTTAAATACTATATCTTTGTTTTTTATGAATAAAATAATAATAGTAATAAGTAACAACTCACATTTTTCAGGTCATATCCAGTTTCTTAATGAAGTTTCCAGTGTAATATATTTTTCTTCAATATTAATCATTCACAGTGAGTGCTAGCTGTGGTGCAACACAGATCCCTGTCTGCATGCAGCAATGTGTGTTCTGTATTATGTTGGTTTCATAGCCTAGTTTGTACTTATAAAGAGGGGCACCTTGAATGCTCTAGCAGATGTGCTTTTCGACAGTTTTCGAGGCGTGCTTCTGATATCAGCGACTTCAATTGGTCAATACAAAGGATTTACGATTTCCTTAGTGCGTCATCTGTTTTCACTGACTATACTGCCAAGGTGAAGTGGAGCGGATTGGTGTTTTAAAACCATTATGTTTTTTCATTGTTTTTGTTTATTGTCTTTTTTATTAATCTTATTTAGAAGTTAAATATCCGGATAATTAGCAAGGTCATTAGAAATACACGATCTCTGCATGTTATATTTTTATTGGTCCTATGTTGTAATATAATAGTATTACAGAAATTGGTACAAGGTTATTCATACATGTAAAGTATTTATGTGTGTATATATTACAGCGTACATTATGCTTATTGTTTCTTTGCAGATAATAAACAAACAGTTAATATAATTTAATTACCGAATGAAAATAAACCAAAAGTGGTTTCTTAAATAGGTTGTTTACAAAAAACAATTTTGTAGAATATTCATTCAATTCAATTCACAATTTATTTACAAATGGATGAAAAGGGTAAAAAATAGCTTACGTTTATCAAATTTTGACTCCTAACCTAACAATCATTACATAATGATTTTTAGGTTGTATAAAAGCAATATATATTCAAGCCCGTAACCAGGTTCATGTAAAGAGGGGTTTCCTATAGGCCAAGTTTAACTCAGAAGTGTTTCTTTAATAATAAAATATTTATTGTAAACTACTACTACAGTAGTAAACTGTTCAAAAAGTTTACGAGTCTGATATTTTAATTTAGGTTTACTGCGTAGCACCATAAACACAATGTAAATAAATAAATAATATCAGTGCTCGGGTAGGAGCATAAAAAGTTGTATCAAGAGACACTTTTTGTTATTCATCAACTGAAAATAAATTTTTTATTGAAGGGCTATGCTTGATATGATTAACATCTTATGTTTTTTCTTGAACACTTTTATTATTTATATATATTTTTTTTTACAGGATAAGGATTATTACAAAGTATGAAAATAAACATTTAATCAAAGTTACTCCATTTTTTCAGGTGGGCAGCACATTTTAAGAATGTTTATGTAGCATTTTCATAAGATTATATTCAGCTATATAAGATTACATCATTATTTATTCATTAAGCTTTTGTTGAATAATTACCATAATTGATTGGTTGTTTGATTGATCAATCAATTGATAGAATCTGAAAGTGTATAATACACAAGGAAATCCATTCACCCTTATCACTGAAAATTCTATTAAAATATTAATAATTAAAGTCTTTAATTGTTAAATTAGGTCTATATGGTTTGATTTGTATATAAGTTACTTAATCTGTTTATGAAAGGCTAGTACTAGGATACCAGCATCTATTGAGCTCCTGTGAATAATGTGGCAAAGCCTGAATTCTGGAGCACCACTGTGCTGGTGGTATAAACAGGGCAGTTATGCCGCTTCCATTGCTTGTTATTTTTTCGAATATTTTCACTTGAGGTTGATTTGTTGATTATTATTATTATTATTATTATTATTACAGTATTATTATTATTATTATTATTATTATTATTATTATTATTATTACAGTATTATTATTACAGTATTATTATTATTATTATTATTATTATTATTATTATTATTATTATTTGTGTGCTATGCAAAACATATTTATATTTTTGCTGTTTTATATCTAGACTTTTTATGCAGCTTCTGCCCCTACACTCCTTCTCAGACTCACCACAGTCCTCATAACTAACTACTATGACACAAAACTTTTAATCTAAACTAGAGATCTATTATTGAATATCTATAGTATTAATTGTTTTATGAAAGTATTTTGTAGATATTAGATGATTATGGTTCATATTTTTTAAATGGTATAACAAGATAAAATTTAAAAATAAGAATTAAAACACAAAACAGGATAAATAAAAAAAGCAGACACATCAGTGAAGAAGTTTCAAAAAGAGGAACGAAATCACTGTAGATGTGTATATCTCCAAGAATACTGAGCATGTTGCAGGATGCAAAACTCAACAGTTAAGCAATGTATTGCAGAGCATTGTTGGTGGAAGCCTTGTGCATGATAATTCAATCTCAATATTCTAAATCTATTTACTAACTGTTTAAAATAAAAAACCTCTTGATCATAAAGTAACTGTGGGAATAATTAAAGTTGTTTTTTGGGTCTACGCAAGATGCTGTACATTTTACTTTATGTCCTTGAGCAAGGCAATTTATGTGCATTGCTTCTCACCACCCATGAGGATAATTGGGTACCTAATAGTGTTAAATGCCAAAATTTGCCAATTAGCTGCTGCAACGTTATGAAATATTCCCACGGGAAGCTGTTTTTTTTGTGTTTAAAAAATCCATTTATTCCAATCAGGTGGTGATGATAAAGTGGAGTGCTTATTGTAATGCATTATCGTATATAAGTCTACAATTACTATTATTATTATTATTATTATTTATTATTGTTATTATTATATTATAATTTTTATGTATAGGCATATCATGATTATATATGGGCATAGAAGTCAAGTCAAAGAAAATTATTTGTCTAGACAGAGCTGTCATAAACCTAGAAAAGTATATCACTAACTGAAAATAAAAACCAATGCCTTCAAATACACAACCTTCATATTTGTAGGCCTATGGTAACCAGCCATTTCTGCACAAAAGACTAAGCCTATACAACTTTATTATTCTTCTATAGTTTAAAGCAACAAGCTTATGTACAATGTGCACAAACAATTTTTTTTGCTGATTTAAAAGTCGTAATTAGTAATCATTTGATAATTTTAGTGGTTATAAAATGATTATAGGAATGGTTATATGTATGCGTCTGTTTAAATTGATGAGGAAAGTATTTTTTGTAATTTTCAATTGGAACATATTTATTTCCTTATGTACCGGTATTGCAAATTAGACAAATGTCCAAGAGGAAACCATGGGCTGAGGACCCAACACAAAAGTGGGTACCTCTTGATATGAAGTAAAATTCTATTAAAAAAATATGTAAAATGTGAATATCATAGTTAAAATTAATAAACATATTAACTTAATACAAAGTTACAGTAATTCGTATGCCGCATTTTATACTTCATGTTTATTAGATCACCATTGACAGTAGCTTAAATAATAAAAATTTTAAAATACTGTAATGCTGTTAGATATGATGTAAAAATATAAAAATAGCAAATAGCACTTTAAAAAACTTATATATTTAACTTCAAACCTTTAGGTTTTCACTGTAATTCTTTCAGAAGTGGACTTACTGATGCTTTTTATATGACTTAAACATTTTGAACTAAAAATTTACAGCATTGTCATTTGGTCGTTGCAATGTGAACAAATAGTGTCTGTATGCGGTACGAAAATCCTTGTTCCTCCAGGCATATAGGATCGGATTAATACTGGAATTCAGGATCGCCATAAAACCCGCCAATTGCCAGAGTATATATGGTGCGTTTATATTTCTGTCTGCTATGGTCAGGATTAAAAGAGGTCCCCAGCACGCCGCAATAATTACGTAAACAACTAAAAGGTTCTTGATAACTCTAATTTCGGTATTTCGATGCGTGTCTGTATTTTGCATGTTGACCTTCAACCTCTGACGACATTTGTACACGTACAAGTAGATTCTGATGTAGCAAAAGCAGATGATGATTGAGGCGAAAATAAAGTAGAAGACGAGAAAAAGAAGCATGTAGCGTCTGCCTTCACGATCATGCTTGAGAACACATGCTACCATTGCTTTGTTGAAACCAAAAGAACCGAAACCCAGAAGCGGTGGAATTATAGTCAGAATGGCCAATAGCCAGATGACAGCACACCAAATAACTGAACGTCTTGCAGTAAAAACTAACGAAAGAGATGTATTCCATCTTACAATCACTATGTAGCGATTTATTGCTATGGCAACTAAACTTCCAACAGACACAGTACAACTTAAAATTGTTATGAGACCAAGAAACATGCAGATGTTCTCATGTAACGGCCATTCTCGGTAAGAGATGGAGAACGCAGCAAACGGATCGTTTAATACATTGACCAGAAGATCTGCGATGGCCAAGTTTACCAGGAAGTAGTTATAACCTTTTCGTAAATTTGGAGTTCTCAGTACTACAAGTATTGTTAAGGCATTGCCGATGCAACCGATGATTGCTGTCAAACTTATTGCAAGACTTTCAAATACCACCAGAGCCTTCATTCCAGTGGGCAGCTCATCGAATAGGGACGACTCCATTGCAAGCAACTAGCAACGTAAACCACACTCTTTGTGACAAACATGAAAATCTCACTGCACAAATGTTTCAGTTCAGTACAATAATTCAGTTATTCTCAACTCCTTTGCATTTTTTTGTGTATACAGTTTATTATCTTTGTGCATTCATTCATTTGTTAGCTACATCCTAAAGTATTCATCTTAGCTATATCCACTAATCCCAAAATTAATTCCATACGATGTAAATATCAACAATTTCAATCAGGATGTGCCTACATTGCTTACGTAGAACATTAAAGAAGCAGTCCCATGCAATACTATATAATCATGTGATCATGTAATTAGCCTGCATCCTGTGTTGAAATGTAAACATCCATAGGCATCTAACATGGATTGGCTGTGCTTCAGAGTGTACCCTGATATATATTAAGATATGCCACTGTTGGTATGTACTGATAACTGGATGTACAGTGACAATGCCACTTTAAAAGACTTTAAGTTTATAGAGAGTTATACTTTGTGGTCGATGGAGATGAGTCAGCATGCATGGGTAAAATCATAGTGTTTACAGAATATTATAAACTCAAGATCCGTATTTACAGAGCCTTTTTCTTATTTTATTTTTTTTAAATGATTATTTTATTCTCAGGCTAGTATATGAGTAGTACAGTATTAAAAAGGAGTATCACCATTAGCGTTATTTTTTTCATCATTAATGTTGTTGTTATGATTATCCTCATTGTAATCATTTTCAATGTTCATACCAACTTTATTTCTTTTATTTTCAGTACACACCAGTATAACATTATATTCTTTTACAAATGTGATTTACCCATCCATATATGGGCATGATGATGGCATATCACACATGGACAAATCACATGTATTGGCATATAAAACTTGTGTGGGATTGAGGTTTAGTCATGAGAAAAAAATCCTACAATCTTACAGGATGTGAACCTGTTTCTATTGCTGCATTTTCATTTCATTGTTCTTGTTAACTATATCATCGTCTTTGGCAATTGTTAAATCAAAGCCTCAAGAGAGGATTAACCTATCATTTCCTTATTTCTTTTAAAACTTCTCTTTTTAAATATTTTATTGATATTATGAATGTTTAAATTTTATCTTTTTCTTCTTTATATTTTATATATTATTTTTATATATTTTATCGTATTGTTGTTGGCTAGGAGTTTACAGATGACCACTTGATATATTGGGCTTTAGCCCATATCATCTGTAGTCACGCCCCTAATCAATATATTAATATGTAATGAAAAGGTATATGTGAAATGTGTGTCAAATACAGTAATGTGTACATGTGAATTTTTGAACTGTGATCATATTAAGAGGTAATAAAATAAGGATCTTTGTTGTGTTTTCAAAGAATTATGTTTCAATTGATTCCAAAGAGGTGAGAACTTCCTCTTTAATTTTGAGAGCCTGGATATTCTGATAAATGTATCAAGTTGTCTGTTAATACTGTGGTCTGCCTTTAGTGTGATACTACCATAGATATTTTTTTAATGATCATTAGGCGAGACTTTTTTTTATTCTTTGTTTTGCATACTTATTTTTTTAAAGATCATCGGAGGAGGGCAGAATAAAATATAAAATAAAATTTTGTTTACTTATTTAGCAAATAGTTTTACCAAAAAACATCTAGACAGAGGAGAAAATAAAAATACAATTTATTGGTGAATGTAAAATAGGATGGTTAAATGATTCAAATTGATATAATTAGGAAGAAATATAAATATCTTATCTTTGGAGATTTCAAGGCGGCGGAGGGCATAATAAAAACTTTTATTTTTTTCTGTAATTTCCACTTTTCGTTGGCAGCGCTTGCACTAATTGGCCAAAAATAAAATTTTATTTTTATTCGAAATCATCAATATTTGCAGTCGGCATGTTCGCTAAACAAGGCATACAAAGTCTTGCCTGAAGTTGTATCATTATTTTAATATTTTGTTTTGCCTGCAACCATGGAAATAGCTTAACAACTTAGTTTGTTTCACTTTATTCAGTTCAGTTTATTCTTTCTCAAGACAGCCCATGTTTTTTTTTTTCTCTCTACTTTTTATTTTTCACAATAAGTTTATCTTTGTTGCTTCAATATTCACAGAGCATCTATTAGTAATAATGAAAATTAGCATAACAATTATTGCTGCAGAAGATTTGACCATGAAGCAAAAATAACCATAGCTTATTTCTTTGTCTGTAGACGATAGATACTGATATCATACAAGAAATTATTGTTGAAAGTAAATATTATATCGCTTTATAATTGGTGTTTCTTTCAGTTGTTTTGTTTAGTCTACTCGCAACACGTGTCTCTATTGTTCTATTCTTAGAAGTATCATGTATAAAGTTCAGATAATAAATTCAGAACGATTTCAAACTACACTGTTAAATGTGATACAGTATGTAGATAAAATTTAATCTACAACAGCTGTGGCATATACAACGAAACAAGGCATTTACAAAATGAATGAAAAGTGAAGATGGTTTTTAGTAAAAAAACAGATGTTTACTTGTGTTCTTGATATAAAAATAAGTCGTATAACTAAATTATCTCATGAATATGCTTCCATAAACTTCATGACTGAATGTAAGTTTGAGTTTGCTATAAAAACTAGTCTCTGTCAAAATACTGTCATACAGTATCTGGGAAAACTTTCAGGGCTATTTCCAAGATTTCAGGGTGGGAATGGGAGGATGTATGAATATGGACCATATATGCCGGCCCATAAATTTTAATGTCTATAACAGAAAAATGTATATTGAGTATTTCATTTGTCTTAAAATGTGGACCTTTTCCACTTTTTACAAATGTGGCAAAGACAAGCTAAACCAGTCACTCGTCGCAAAAATCGATTTTGCGTTATTAATACAGGGTTAAAGGGTAAAATAAGAGCTATAAAATAGTAAAAAAATCATTCAAATCCGACATTTCCTTATGAAGTTACAAGCATTTAAGCATAAAGCTGATTAAAGAACAATATATGAGAAATCAGCCTTCAAAGTTTATGATTTCTGGCATTTCTCATGCAGAAACTATTATAAAATCATTAAAAAGTGTTGTTTTAACATTGAAATTGGGAAAAATAACAGCATGGCATGATGTATAGATACATGAACCTTAGTTTAGTGAAATAAAATAGATTTTTAAAAATTGTACATTCTAGCATGTTTTTGCTATTTTCTCTGAAACACAATTTGCGACGAGTGACTGGTTTGGCTTGTCTTTGCCACAAATATTAATAGGAAATATTTTGTACCAAGACCTTTTAAGGAAGATTAAAATTATCACATTGACTAATTGAATTTATGAATATATGAAAATAATAAGTTTGTGTGGTGCAGCGGTTAATGCTTTGGATTTTCAATGTCAGGGGTGGATCCAGAGATGTCTGAAAGGGAGGGGGTGGCGATCGAGATAACACTACCCTGGGGGTATTCCCTCACAAAATATTTGTTTTCTAGAGGCACCTAAAAAACTAAAAAAAGGCTTTTTTCCCCCTTTTTTTTTTGGCTTTCCAAAAGGGAGCCAATCCGCACCCCCTCTCCCCGAAATCCGCCCTTGAATATTGTGAGTTCAGGACCGATGTGTATCACACTGCTTGTGTCCTTGGGCAAGACACTATATCTGCATTTGCCTCTCTTCACCCAGGAATTTAAATGGGTAGAATGTGAATGATTTAGAATGACATTGGTATTGGTAGTGCTAGAAATATACCCTAAGAAGTAGAGGAAGTTGCCTGCATGGTTGAATCTCTATCCAGTGACCAGGGAAAAATGCGCTTTGCGCAGCTTTTCATATATACACTACTGTATATACGGTAAATTGAAATGAAATAAAAATAAAAATTATAAATAATTTTATTGTACCGGTAGTCTTCATTTGTGAAGAATTTAAGGTACTATATTATGAACCCTTAAGTGGTTTACCTCTCTGTTTAATTGGACCAAGGGCTATCATTAATCTCATTAAACCTACTGTAGGCCTAGTATGAAGTCCTTATATTTTTATGCATCTATTGTTCTTAATCATCGTTAGTGACATTTTGTTATGCAAAATCCACATTCTTTTTGTTATGATTCTTAACTTACTTTTAGTGATTACATTACAATGGTAGCACGGAAAGGCAATCCATTCGAATTACCCCTTTATAGCTATGTAATAATCCTCATCAGACAGTGGATGTCCTTGACTCGTCCCCAAGGGATATGTCTGATAGACTAGTACCACCAATTGACACCCCTTATTGAAATTTCTAGTCACCAAGTAACCCCTCTCCTCCCAATTATTATTTATAATACATGTACAGGATGATCAATCTGCCCCAAGGGTATTATACATGATCTCTATAAGACAAAGTAATTGACTTTTTTTCTCAATAGGGACCATTCTGGAGGAAACTCGGAATTAAAAAGCAAAATCAATGATTTACTAGTTTACGGGAGCAGTGTTGATGGCGTTCCCGGTCTGACTAAGTAAGTACCAGTAGTAATATTCAACCTGTTTCTCTTCAACCTAGTTCTTTCTGTCATGTTCAAGGTGTATAATATTATGTCTGAATTATAATTGCGACAACAACAAAACTAGCCTCATTTTTGTCACCTATTAATAATAAACTTTTAGGGGTCCCAAGTTAGGAGAAGCCAATTCTGGAACAGGTTTTTTTCTTTAACACAGCAAATTCTATTTTGCTGCACCCATGGCCACCTGACTTCAGGTCTGGGGCGACAGATTGTAGTCATTACATGTAAAAATCATGAATTTGTGGGAGATGGTTTAGTTTCCGGGAGATTTTTTCTTATTCGTATGAGTTTAGGAGATTGTGCCAATCCATAAAAAAGCCTGAAACCCGAAATTTCTAGTATGTTGGTTCTAGAAGCTGTGGCTGATTCAAGAGTTAAAGATTCGATGAAGTTCTCTGGCCAAAAAAAAATCCCCCTACAACTAATGGCATTTTCATAAAAATTTTATACTCAGTGATGGTAGCCACTATTTGTGTGCTGAACCGTGGAGATCCTTTGTCCATTTAACTTTGATCCACTGAATACAGTAGATGTTTATGCATTGGACCTGCCTGCAATATTCCCTATGTTCATAAAAGAACACAGTACTGTACTCTTCTGAAAAGAGTAGGGGATTATCTCCCAGTATACTGCACACAATCACCACTAGGACGACCCCACAGGAAATAATCTTCAGACTTTTGTTGGTTATGCTTGGTATTCACTCCGAATAAATCTAATTCAATTGTAAAAATATTAAAAACATACTGCTTCTAATAAAATCTGGTAAATTCATCAGCTTAAAGACATTTGCATGTAATCTTCCATCCTCCAAAAAGATACAGATTAAAATATTATGCAATATTAAGTAACCCAAAAAAAAAATGGTACAGTTGTCAGCCAAACCACTTAACCTGATGTTTTTTTTTTTCTAATCAGCAATCTGGTTGATGGGGATAAATTCTCTGTTGGTAGTTTACAGTTCACTGCAAGGTTTACCCCCGGTCACACTGTTGGTAAGTGCTTTAGCTAACAATAAAACCTGCAAATATTTAATGCCAATGTAACACACCTCTGTTACTACATATCCCCATGAGGTTTTTCATTTTGAAAATTAACATTCAGTAACCTTATCCTTAAAACACTATTTAGTGTAATATTTTGTTAATAGTACTGATATGATAATCTTAATCATTTTGATAGCAATAATAATGCTGATATTATATCATTAAAATATTGATAATGATACTATTACGGTATTTTAAAATAATAATTACCACTCAATATATGGTTTTATAAACATATTTATATAAACAATAATTACATCAATGTAGGTAATTATTACTTATATCAAATTAAAATTATAAATAATATAATTATATATTTATTAATATATTATAAATATAATTATTTATATACACAATTCAGCACAATGATACTGCGAGTTATGGGTTATTCTCCTACTTTTACCTTTATTAAATTAAATTTGTGTAATAATTATTTATCCATAATTGTATCCCATTTGTAGGCCATGCTGTTTACGTTCTTGATGGTAATCCCTATCAATGTCCTGGACACGTGTTTACCGGTGACCTTCTCTTTGTGGCTGGATCAGGTAAGGCTAAACTTACGACAAAACTTTATTAAGCAGCCCATCATCCTTAATTGTGTAACTACTAATACTCATACTTAATTCACTGCTATACCACATGATTATTTGAAATTGAAATATTATTAATTTTGGTATGAAAAATTATCACTTCTTAGTGATAAATTTGTTGATTCACTGGAAAATAATATAATAATTTTTTTTTAAAGTTTTTCTACAAAATTGAATATTCGGTAGAATGTTCCCACACATTGTTATCATAATTTTTTCAAGCTTGTCATCTATAATACTCAACATCCTGAAATCTCGACACAGTTTTGATGTAGTGTTTAGCGCCGCAGCCTGCTAACTGTTAGTTTGTATTGTATGCGCGAAAATGATGGGAAAACACTGCCTATAATGTTTTGTTTAAATTCTTCTCTGGGTTTTTTATGTGTTGAATTATATGCAAGTCAGGGTTACAGGAAGTATTATTACTTAGGTAGCAATGATGAAGGGATTCAAGGAGAGTTGTGTCCAAGGATTATTGACTTAGAAGGCTGAATTGTCTTTATACCAATTGACTTAAAAGACTTTACATTTACTTGTTTTCTGGTGACACACTACTGTATTATGGAACGCCAAAAGGGCAACCTTGAACACTTCAACGATTATACAAACAGTACCAACGAATACACAGGCACTCCAATGAATGTACAAGCACTCCAATGAATATTGAAACACTCCAACGAATATAGAAACACTCCAACGAATGTACAAGCACTAACGAATATAGAAACACTCCAACGAATGTACAAGCACTAACGAATATAGAAACACTCCAACGAATATAGAAACACTCCAACGAATGTACAAGCACTAACGAATATAGAAACACTCCAACGAATGTACAAGCACTAACGAATATAGAAACACTCCAACGAATATAGAAACACTCCAATGAATGTACAAACACTAACGAATATAGAAACACTCCAACGAATGTACAAGCACTCCAATGAATGTACAAGCACTAACGAATATAGAAACACTCCAATGAATGTACAAGTACTCCAACGAATATGCTATAACTATACAATTGCTGTCGTGGAGGAAGAATTGTACTACAACATTCAAGAGAACAAAATAGTGTCCTTACCCCTTCTCGTTTGAAATTATCAACCGTGGCTTGATCGTGTCCGAGTGATAACAAAATATCTTCCATTTTTTTCCGATCGAAGAAGAGAAATGGTTGGAAGTTGTACAGTAGGCAAACAAATAGTTTGCAAGCAAATAGTTTGGTTTTGAGGTTTGAGCATGGATGTATTTGACCCCCAGAATTGGGGATTACGCAACCATAATAGACAAATAACCTCCTACTAATGAAAATTTATAGCCCAGAGTAGCTCAGTCTCTGACCTGAATGACCTTGTAC